GAGGGGGCTCTGTCATGCCCTCAGGCTGGGCACAATTGCCATTGCTGCCAGGAGGTGGCAGAGACCCCAGCTTGGCTCCAGCTGGGCCCATCCGTGCCTCAGTTTCCCCACACGTGCTCTGCCCTGTGGTCATCCCAGTCCCACGGTGAACTATCAGCCCCTTTACCCTGGGAAGGGGTCACTGGGCACTGCCACAGGCTGCTCTCCCTTTGCCACGCTGGCACCATGCTGCCAGCAGCCCTGACCGCGCCGCCGAGCCCCCCTCCCCGTGGCTATTTTTATCCCCCCCAACCGTGTTTCTCACTGTCCTATTTTAAGCGGCGCAGTTGGTGCACCGGGAACCCAGTGCCCAGCTCCCAGGGGCCCCGCACTGCCTCGCTGCCCGCTCACGCCGCCCAGGCGCAGGGCACAGGGAGCCATGCCCAGGGAGGCTGGAGAAGGTAGGCTGGGGAGCAGGCTGGGGGCTGGCGGGGGCCCTGGCACCCCGGGGGGACTGGGTGGGACTGGGCTGTGGGGTTGGGATGGAGGCAGCAGCCAAATGCTGCTCTCTGCCGCGGGGGCTGAGGGCAGAGATGCCCACCCAGGGACGAAGGGAGTCCTGCAGGGCTGTGGGCGCAGGGCAGCAGGGTTTGGGGAGGGGGCAGGCAGCTGGATGGCACAGCCCCTGGCACCAAACCCACATGCCCGGCTGTGCCCCCCAGCCTGGGGGGAGCGGATGCAGGGGTGATGGGGGTACCTGTGGGCCAGCCCCCAGCCAAAAGCAGGGCCCTGGGGAGGGTCTGGGGGAACCCTGGGCACCAGCTGAGGCCCCCCCAGCTCCAACACCTGCCAACCCCGCCAGTGGCAGGCACCACCCCGATGGCAGCAGCGCGGCGCCACGCTGCCCTGTGACACGCCGCTGACCCCGGGAAGGACTGGAAGTGGGCACGGGGCCACCCTGCCCTGCTCCACTGCGGGCACAGTGCCCGGGCCCTGCCTGCTGCTCAAAAAGGTGCAAACGCCCAGAAAAAAACCCTTTCCCTCTGCCCCAGCATGGGCACGGTTGCTTCCCAAGACAGTGCCGGAGCCATGCCTGCTCCCAGAAAGCCCCCTTGCTCCCATGAGGGATGTGCCTACCTGGGCAGTGGGCACCAGGACCCCCGGCACAACACACACCCTACACCCCTGTCCGTGCACCCCTAAGCAGCACACAAGCACGGTGACTGCAGGGAAAGCCAAGCCATGCTGCGGGCTGGAGCTGGCACTGCCCTGCCCCTGCCTGCCAGCTCCCAGCTGGCCCGGGGGAGCCCCAGCCAGCCCCACGGTGCCTGGCCTATCCAGGCCATGGGGTTGGCACATTCCTGCCCCCAAGCCAGGGGCAGATTCCAGCCCCACTAATGAGGCTCTGGGATTGTGGCCACCGGGAGCCCGCTAACTGCTCCGATGACAGCGCCGGGGCCGGGTGGGGCACAGCCAGTGTTCACCCGCCTGCGGCCGCAGGACTGTGCCAAGGGAACACCGGCGTTGGCTGACTACGCTGGCACAGCACCAGGCTGGCGGCAAAGCTGGGGTCACCTCCGGGAGGGGTCTGGTCCCTGCAGGGGTGCCCGGGGCAGGCAGGGGCTGTGGGCAGGGCCCATGCTCACCCTCTGCCTCTGCTCCCAGCAGACAGCATGGGAAGAGCCGAGGGTGCCATGCCAGCAGAGCCTGGGGACCCCGACAGCAGCGAGCCTGGAGCCATCAGCCTGCGCCCCGTGGAGTCCATCAGCGACCTGCACTGGGCCTCGGGCGGGCAGAAGGGTGCCGAGGGTGAGAGCGGGGTGGGGGGAGCCCGTGCCGGCCCTGACCCTGCCGGCGGCTGGGCTCTGACCTCTTCTCTCCCCTGCCTGCAGGCAATGGCCCGGCTCCCACCAGCAGCCTGCAGCAGCCCCCCGTGCCCGCTGCCAGCCCCTGCCTCGGCCCTGGCCACCCCCTGCTCCTGGCCCTGCTGGGGTTCCTGGCCCTGGCGAGCCTGGTCCTGGCCACGCTGGCCATCTACCTGAGTGGTACGTGGCGCTGGGCTGGGTTGGGGGGGTTGGGGGACTGTGGGAGGGCCAGGTCACCCGTCCCCAGCGTGTCCCTGTCCTCTCCTCTCCCCGCAGTCCTGCAGAGCCAGTCGGTGCGGGCGCTGGCCCAGTGGCTGGAGAGCCAGGAGGACGCCGTGCCCCAGCTGCGGGCAGCCAACGGGCAGCTCTGGGCTCACCTCAATGCCAGCGCCGAGCCCGGCGGGCACCGCTGAGCTGCTCCCAGCCCCGCCACAGGCACCGGGCCACCATGGGAAGGGGCTCCGAAGGGCAGGAGGGGGGAGTGGGCAGCCCTACCCCCCCCATCCTGCTCAGACCTGGCAGCATCGCCCCATGGGGCGCAGGTAGTGGCGGGGGCAACACTGGCCCCCACCCCAGGCTCCAAGAGAAAGGGACAGGGCTGCAAGGACTGGCACCCACCCCAGTGACAGCCCTTCCTCTTCACAACAAGGCAGAAGGCACCCTTCAATTAGCCTTTTAATTACCTCCTGTAATCAAAGTCTTAGAAAACCACCACCATAGATACATTCCCGGGGTAGCAGGCACTCCCAGCTGGTGCAGCCCCACGCCTGCCCGGGCAGCAGCCCCCGAGGCTGCACAGGCAGCACTGGGACTCACCTGCTGTGCCACCCCCCCCCCCCCAAATAATTAATTTCCCACAAGAGGACTATTTCATATAAAGCATTTGGCTGGAAAAGGGCTCAGAGCGGGCAGCTGGCAGGGCTGGGCAGAGCCTGCCGCCCCGCGCCGCTCTGCCCCCCTTGGGTGCCAGGCCAGCTTGCAGAGGCAGGGGGGGGG